TAGAATCGGGTCTTTTGATCACCTGATTTGGAGGAATCTTCCATTGGAGGAGGAGAAACGATCTTTGGAGGAACAAAAATTAGGGTTTAAGATTCGTTGGTGATGGCTGGGCAGAAGGTTTTAGAGAAGTGGGGATTTGACGGTTCAAACTTCAAAGTTCAAACGGAGGGTTTATGCCGGAGGAAACTTCGTGCGTTGTGTAGGGTTTAACAAAAGAGGAGAGGGGATTTTTGTTTCCTTTTATTTTTTTAATAATAAAAAAAATAATGATTAAATTTTATTATTGTTTCTTTTTTTGGGTTAAATTGTGCGAAATTTTAAGCTTTGTGTTTATCTGGCCTTCAAACTGTCTAAAAGATTTCAGGTTTTCAATTTTTATGATAAAAAGGTTGCTAAATTTTAAAATTTTAATTTTGTGTCTCGTAGAGATTTGTTTTATTCTACATATTTTAACATTTACGAATCTATTAAATACAAAATTAAATGTTAATAAAATATTAAATTAAAATTCAAGCTTGAAATTGGAACTGAATTAATTGAAAGTAGTTTTTAGTTATATGGAAGAGAGAATCATGGGAAATAGATGAGAGATGACAAATTTAGTGGAAGAGTTGGTAAATAGATGAGTTTCGAGAGAATCATGGCAACATAATTTGAAAAAAAAAATTGACACCATTATTTTATTCCCAGTAGAAAATCTAATCTCCCACCTCTGTATTTACAGTACAACGAAATTCTAAAGCTAAATCACTCTTTTAACATTCATAATTTTATTTGTGTTTGATTTAATTTTAAATATAAGGAAAAAAATATTTTTACCCTTATTTGAAAAATTGAATTCTCACCTCTAATGGCAAAATTGAAATGGAATACGAATTCAAAGAATTTGTAAAGATGGAAGATAAGAAATTTAAAATCCCAATGTTATTTATGAAGATAGGTCACATGGCATAAAGTTCTAACTTGGTGGATTAAAGCAGTCACGCAGTCACCATTTTCTCTTCTTCCATTAACAATCGAACATAACATTCAAATCTAAATCTATGGAGTTTCTTCCAATTTCCTTTCAGTTTCCCATCTTCGTTCTTCTTTCCACTTCGTCTTCTTCCTTCATCACACTCTCCGTTACCGCCTTCCCTTCAACTGCCATGGAAGCATTTCAATTACCTTGCCTCTATCACCAGGGTTCATCACCTCAAGAACCGAAACAAATGAAGCGATTGAGTCGAGAAATCCAAATCTGGACTCACTCTTCACAGCTATGGTGGTTACTCAGTTTATCTTGGCTTTAGAATTCCTCTGCAGGATTTATCTCTTTCATCTTCGATACTGGAGGTCAACGTTTACTTGCGAAATTTCGTCGTATCCTCGACAAGGGGGAAAAACTATTTTCTCCCTCATTGATATGTTGATTAGGTCGACACGTTGACATTTTAAACCATGTAGGCAAGTAACTTCTAACTAGTATTTAGAAGGCTTAAAAAAGAAAAAAAAAAACTAGTATATTAAGAAGTTTTTATTTATAAAAGTATGTTTGGACAATTTTATTCTTTTATCAGAATTTACTTACAATTTTTTAAGAAGCTGTCACTTACGAGTTACAATCAATCACAAATAATTAATAAACTATATATTTAACTAAATCATAAAGTGTAATTTAAAAGGTTAGAAAATGAATGGCATTCTTTTTATTCACATGAATTAATATGATAATTATTACCTTTAATTTTATGTAATATTTTATCATAAACTGTTGGGAATTTTAAAAGTTTTGTAGTTGCTTTATTCCTAATAGCTAAAAAGTGACTCTTTTCTCAATTCATTTTTTTACAGCAATTTGAGCTCTATCTTTCTCTGGGATGAAATGAAAACTATATTAAATTTGGATTTGGAACTATTTGGGTATGAAAATCCTTAGATTGTTGGAAAAATAAAGAAATCTTAATTCATAATTGTTCTATAATAAGGGTAATACAATTCAAGAACAATCAAAGACAAATGATCTAAACATGGATAATTCGATGAGGAGCAAGAGACTCATGTATTATAGTGTATTGAGGATCATATATAGTTATCTACCAATCTTAGTATTTTAAATAATCCCCTAAGACTAATGAACTGATTTATATTCAGCAAGTTAGATCATTAAATAGGAAGTTATAGACCCATAATCAAAATCACTCAAATATGCCCATTAAATAGAAAAATATAATTGCTCTTTAATTTATTACCCACCTATGAATTAAATTGATTTTTAAGCTATCATTAAGGTGGTGATTTTGGAAAATCACTTATACTTAAATCTTTTTTTTCAAAATCACTTATTCTACCGTCACTCCCAAACACACCCTTAAACATGTCTACTCTCAACTGATCCATCTTTATTATTTTAGAGAGATAAATATTTATGTTTTCTAGCTTTATGCAAACTAAAATTAAAATTAGAAAGAAAAGCTTTATGCTAAACTAAAATTAAAATTAGAAAGAAAATTAAAAAGAGTAACAAACAAATACATCTTCTTTATCATGCAGATAACAAAATCACGTGTATAATTTAAGAAAACACAAACTCTCACGCAATCGACGTATCTTGTAAAACTTTTTGTAAAAGTTCTTAATGAGCGGATCCGTAATGTTGAAGTTTCAGTTCTTTTAGACATGAAAATACTCTGAATTTTCTTTATCAAATGCAACTTAAAATATTCATACAAAAGCTTACGTTGATGTAATATGGAAAATAAAATCCTTGTGAAAACAACCTAATGATAAGGTTTTACAACCATAATGCTCCAAAAAAATAATTTTTTTTGATGAAAAGTAGGGTGCAAAATCAAGTTCTTAAGGAGAAATTCTCATCTCATGTTGTGTCATGTGGCAAAATTGATTATAAGTTTGATATTTGTTTGCCAAAAAGAAATACTAAAAATATTGGAACAAATTTGAAATGGGTTCCAAAATGTATGCTCATTGAAGGACCCAAGGA